GGAGCAGCCTTCAGAAAAGCGCACGGCATTCATTAGGATCTTACATATTGACAAAAAAAGGTGATTTTGAACACAAAGGCATGTGATGAAACCTCTCAACTGGGAGAGTGAAACTGACTTAATATCTGCAAAGAAAATGAAACTTTACTCTTAGTGAACAAGAAACACTAGAAACACTGCAAGTATTGTGCACAAGAAAACAAGGCGACAGTGACTTCCTCGTATACAAACAGAAACTGTGATATCCCTGTGATATTAAGCAACGGGTAGTCAACATACAACTTAAACAGCAAAGTGAGTTCAGTGTTTGATATCTACTCTTCTTCTTCTTCTATTTTGTTTTATTTTGCTTTGTTTTGTTTTCAGTCTCTTTCAACGCAATTCATGCCTCTTCCAATTCCCTTGAATCAGGAATAATTATCCATATCTTTATATTTTTTCTACATGTTTTGGGGGTCTGAATGGTCTTAATAGTATATTTTCTAAACAAATATACATACATTTTTTTATTTTACTAGTCATCATTATCATTGCTATTAGTATCATAATCGTGTTAATGCTAACAGTAATAATGATGATAATAATAATAATGATAATGATAATGTTAATAATAATTATAATGATATTTTTTATTAGAACATCAACAACAAAAAACAATAATAATAATAATAATAATAATAATAATAATAGTAATAATAATAATAATAATAATAATAATAATAATAACAATAATAATAATAATGATGATGATGATGTAGCAATTATAGTAATAATGATAATAATAACGATAAACATGATGGTGTTCAGCGATAATAATAATAATAGTAATAATAATGATAATAATAATAATAACAATAATAATAGTAATAACAATATTGTTAATAATAATATTAATAATAATAATGATAATAATAATAGTAATAATAAAAATAAATAAAGATCATGATTATGATAATGATGATGAGTATCACTTTGTTAATAATAATAAGAACAAAAATAATCATATTACTAATGAAAAGGACATTGTATAACTGAGCAGCTGATGTAAACAAAGACCACGTGGTCAACAGTCAATGGTCCAAGAGTGAACGCCAAAATGCGTGCAGTGCCAAGTTTCCTTGTAATTACCGAGTCTCCTCAGGGATTCACTATGAGTGTTCAACTTTTGTTTATTTCTTGAAGCACTGACGTCAACAATATTCAGTAAAGCACCTATGCGCCAAACAGCGTGCTTGTAAACATTATCAGTACCTAACCTCAATGCTGAAACCTGCCAAAATGCTTTCTTATCCAGTAGATTATTAATTTGGGTTGCTTCCGTTCCGTGTGACTGGCTGACCTGGTATTTCCAGGTAAATAGCTTAAATGAACCACTGAGTTCTGCGATGGCAAGGGCATCTGGGCGGGCGAAACCACGTGCTCGCCTTGCAGTCGTAAACAAAAACAAACGAGCATCTCCCCCTAGTGTGCATAGGCTTATATTTGTCCACTTATAGTTTTGCCATATAATCTCTGCATATTCTGTGCTTATGAAAAAATGCATATCCATACGTATGCATATATAAATGAACTTACTCTCTTCTCTGTAACTCATATACAGAAATATATATGTGTATAAAAATATATAAACAGACCCACAAATGCGTACTTATATGTATATGTATACACAGAGCTTCCACTGCGGGGGCACCCCCTTCACCACTCCTCCACCTACCCAATGCCGAGCATCAGTTAAGAAAAACATTTGACCGATTCATCGTGTTCTCCCACGAGGCTGGGAAGCACGCTCTATTCTTGGCACCTCTCTTCCCGTGACACCCCCTCCCCCTTTTGGCACTTCACCCTTTTTTGTGACGTGGAAGCCCTAACAAAGTCACACGGCGTTGGCACCTTCGGGACGCGGGGCGCTGCGCAAGACGGCACAAGGGAACGGCGTAGTAGCCCCTAAGGTGTCGCTAGGGGGCGATGCCATGACGGCCGATGGGGCAGAGGGAGGGAGGGGGGTAGGAGGAGGGAGGAAGGGCAAGGAGTCGTACCCAGAGGTCGAAAGAGGTCAGCCAGACGTCCAAGAAAGAGCTTAGTTTCTTCGATAAGCTAAGAGACACATCGGTTATCCATTTCAAGTTCGATATTAATTTTTACATAGAATTAGAATCAGAAAATCTATTCCTTTCGTTATAAAGCAAACTCAAGATCTTTATCAGCACTGTTAAGGACTAAAGGAACCCACGCGCACATGTCATTAGTGCGTGTTTCCTCCGATCTCAGAAGCAAGAAAGGCCAGAGGAAATTCTCTTCTTTACAGACAGTTTGGCGTCTTTTGTCCCGCAGGTGATGTCACAGCTTGGCACTGGCCGATGACCCAGAGTGGCACTCGTTGCTGCGGTGCCTCTAGCCGGTTGCTGCGTGGGCCGGTCACTTCCTGTGTGTGTTAGTTTGAAGAAGACAGTTTTTCATTTGTTTCTTTAGAAATTATCGTAATTTTACTTTGACAATATTT